TTCCTGATTACAACAAAACCTTTATAAAAAATGCTGTCTCTTCAGCATTTCATCATAAAGGTCAATATGTACATGTTTCCGCAGTTTTTACACAGGAAAACAACATTTGCAAAACAATATACACCCTTTTACTTTGCATGGAAATATATTCAACTAAGAAATAATATAAAAATATTGTATATACCTGGCTAATGTGACATTCATTGAAGCCAAGGAAATGCAGAATTTGTTTTGATATTTTTGGAATTTGATTCAAAATTAATGAAGGTAAATATTATATGTTTCTATGGGTGAATGACTATGTGCTAGTATTAAAATTTACACATTCTTCTTTTAATGTAAAAAAAAATTATTCATACGCAAATTGTTTCCTACCATGAAATTTTGCAGATAAATATTCCAAAGGCCATACCTTCTGCATAAAGAGGAGAAAAAAAAAGGTTAAGCTACATGAAAGAACAAACAGTTAACATTTTAGGTTAGAGGAAACTTATAATTAAGTTATACTGCTAGGAAGTGTAGTATTTACAAGATTACAAGTGACGACAGTCAACAGATTGGCTTTGCAACAAGCTGACAACAGTATACCACCTTCTACTAACTTTGTTTGCTGGGGGTATCATAATTACTGTACAGAATGATATAAAAATGCTACTTTACTTACAAATAACAACAGAAGCCCACCAAGGTACATCTAATGACACATGTACCATCTCCAACAGTTGTTGTATCAATCCAGAAGGATTATTACCACCCAGGCCAATACTTTGTAATGTTGGCTCCCCAAGTGCATTTAATTCTGGTAAAACAGTTTTAATGTCATCTATAGGTCCTAAAGGAATATCTGGTATATATCCTGGAGGCATGTTAGCTGGCTGAAAACATATAATTGCTCTAAATAATATAATAATCAAAATACAAGAATACATATTCAATGCTCAATAGCATACATGAGCCGTGTTAAGATGGAACCAACATTATGGGTTTGCGACCAGCATGGATCCAGACCAGCCTGCGCATCCGCGCAGTCTGATCAGGATCCATGCTGTTCGCTTACCAACTCTATTACAAGTAGAGAAACTGATAGCGAACAGCTTGGATTCTGATCAGACTGCGCAGATGCGCAGGCTGGTCTGGATCCATGCTGGTCGCAAACGCATTACATTGGTTTTGTCGTGATGCGGCTCACATAGGAATTTAGATAAATATTGGCTAATATGAATTACAGAATTATTTACAGGAAAGGACTATCAATACACTTTATATGATAAAATTCATGTCATGACTTGTGTATAATTGTTTACTTACATCAGTGCTTGCATATCTAACAGATAACAATGCTCCCCATTGCTCTTTACGTCTATATATCTTATGTGGACGACACTTTATACTGCCAGTCATAAGTCCAGAAAAATGGCGTTTAGGAAACACCTGAAATAACAAAAAAAAATCCCGGTAGGAACATATTTGTAGTCAAAAATTGCAATAACTAGCCCAAGGTAATGACTGACCCACTGAATAATTTGTAACTATTTTTCTTCATTGTTTCATTGACTGATACCTGAAAAGACGTTGTTCAAATAAATTATATCAAGTTTTGCCTCTTTTTACATTTAGCATTAACGTTACCTTAAGAGATGAAACAATTTGGTATTCATGTATATATAAAGTTGTTCTAGGGTTAAATACTTCATGAGGCTGATAAACTTTCTTTACATATTTCTGACAAGAGTATTTTCTATGTATGCCAGAGACCAAGTTTCATACAATCATAAGTCTTTTATAGTTATATCTAGTTACAATCACGGTAATCAAAGGTCAAAATTCAATAATATCACATGCAAAACTGTGCTGAAGATCTAAATTTGTATGTCATACAGTACAGCTCGCGCGGAATGTACTTTTTTCCTTTTCCCTCCGCGGAACTTGGGAGGAAAATCGCCGAGTAACTCCATAAAACTCCGCAATTTTCGGAGGTGTCGCGGAGACAGAAATTCGCCAAAAGCGACGGTATTTTACTTAAAAAACGGTGTATTTCAGTCCTCCGCGATTCTCCGTGACTTTTCTTTCAATTGGTGCAAATAAAATTAATAAAAATGATCAAAATAAAAGAAATTGTTTCTTGTAAATGTATGTTGTAGATCTACTTTCGATTTCAGCAAGGATATTATCTGTTACCTGGCCGGTATTCCGGACCATTGCACACGTGTTTATATTTATACCTATGACATAATAATAGAGATGAGCGTAAATTATATCATATGCATATGTATATTATTTAAACTTGATGAATGCAGACTTGTTCATAATTTTATGAGACACCTATTATGCGTTGTCTTTCAACGAATTTATTTCAAACAATTCATGTTAACAGAAGATCTAAACTTTTGTAAAAGTGATTGTTGTTGTTGTTCTTGTAGTAACTGTGTACGGTTTTAATGTTAGGCCTAATTGTTTTTGTGTATCATCAAATTCAATACATTTATATACATGTTTATCTTTAGATCCATCGTCTCTTCCCATCATTTTATTTCTAACGAGTCATCTTTGAAAATAGATTGTACACTCGTGTTTGTAATACTAATAATTTCTATATTTGTTTTCATTTCAGGACCTTAGCAGTTTTAATAGTTCAGAAAAAGAAGCGAGTTGTATTCTCCTTAAGAGTTCAACTTCACATTCTCTTCCCTTTTCTTTTCCTTAATCTTGTACTTTTGGATTGAGATTATCTACATATTATATGAAGTTGGTGGAGAAATTTCACGGATTAAGGCTGCGTCGATCTTCGGAAGATATGTACTGTAAGCTTTGAAGACGTCAAGACAGACTTTCTGAATGATAAAACTTAGGATTTGTCGGATGGTCCTTATCAAAAGGCACCATGTATCCTCATTACAAAAAAAAAAAGAATTATAACAAACAACTTTTGACAAGCATGACTTGTGCACATCTGAGCAAAAAGATATGTATGTGCAAACGGCGCTCAGTCATTGGCGTTGACGTCAAACAACATACTCAAGAAATGTTCACTTACCAAATATATCATCTATGCAAATGTTGAATATTGAATAAATATGTTCCTCTACCATGAGGAGACTTACTGTTGGATAGTTCTTAATGTCTCCGTATGTGATTACATACCCACCTTCTGTAAAGCGTCATATCCATGTACATGTATGTTTGCCGGCTTTAAAAAAAAAAAGGGGGGGGGGGGAGGCAAAGAACAATGATACACAGTATAACATTCATAATATTCTTTGTTCACTTCTTTTATTTGTCAACCTTTATAGAACAAATATTATTAGTATTAGTTATACTTCAAGTAAGAAGTTATTTAGATAAGGCACATCGTCTCTGGAAACTCTTGAAATCTTCCATGCATGGTCATCTTGCTGAAAAAAAAAACGTTAATGATTATAAATGATTGATAGAATAAAAAGTATTTTGAAACCAATATCATTATACACTAAATGAGAAAAAAGAACGTTCAATCTTATTTATTGAAAATGAAGTCGGTATAGTTTTTCACCAGTGTGTATACATTTATATTGAGAAGAGAAACTGTATAAAACACGGATATATTTTATCGTAAATTATTATAGAGAATTGTAAAAGGTGAAGACATTATAATTTTCGCTGTTGACACATAAAATTATCAGTGAGGACGTACTAGTTTTGTTGTACAAATTTGTGGACATTTGAAATAGACATCGTGTACACATTGGGAAACGTATAGGTCAAGAACTACATGTATATAAACAGGTAACCAATGTCTTATAAACTTTAAAATCTTAAAGAAAAAGAAACTTTATAATTTGTGTTGTTGACCAAATTAAATATGTGAAGTCATGAGCAAAGCATGGAGACCGACGTATTTTAAAAAACATGCATGTAAAATATAAAACAATATAGGTGTAGTATTACATTTACACGTCAAATTTTCAAAACTGTTGATCTTATTTCTTTACAAAATATAAATAGGGTTGTTATAGTTTTTCATGTTGACACATTTACCACAGAGCTATCTGTAATAAAAATCTCTGCATTTACGGGTGATTGAAATAACGGATATATCTACAGTACATGTATATCTAGCTCCGAGGCCTATTTCCAACATATGCCAACATTTCCAATGCGCTTCAAAACATAAAAAAACTTATATACACCTACAGTATCCTTGTCCTAAAAACAGCAACAAAAAATGCCAAATAAAGTATAAAAACAAAATACGATGTAGACATGATTCAGCGGTACGGTGTTCAAGAAGATTGTTCACAAGAAATACTAGATCGATTAATCAAGTGGTCCTACAAATATCAAAACAAAAATAAATAACAATTAAGATAATTACAAATGTAGTTTCTTTAATGAAAAATGAAAATTACTTTAATGAAAAGGGATAATTTTAAAATATAATATCAACTTATAAATCGTGTTTTCTTGGAGAATCTCTGCGGTAATACCTTTACACTCTCTAAAACTCCGCGATTGTGGTCCAGGTTGTTTCTCCGCGATTACGCTCAGAAAAACGCGGTGGATTAAGGAGTTTGCTTAAACGTCGATCGCAAAGGAAGCATAAAAAATGTACATTCCGCGCGAGCTGTACTGTAGTTGCTAAAGATTATCAAAGAAACCTTGCATGGAAATATTCCCTGTTTATTTTCAACCATTACTTATGTATAAGAATTTAGGTATATCATTAATCATAAACAATTTTGTTTAGCCTATGTAAAATTCTTTGCAGCCTTTGCAAACTATAACATATAAAATATGTTCAATGTTTCAGTACAGTCCATATGTTCTTTTGTATGAAATATTTTATCCTGAAGTTTTAAAGAAGATCCTTCTATTAAATAATCACAGAGGTCACACCTCTGTTTGTTGCATTTTGTAACACAGGGCATTATATTATTGTCTTCTTTAAATTCTGAACTTATTAAAATGCTTTTTAAATTTGGTAAACTTCAGGATAAAATATTTCAGTGTCATTTTTTGTTGGGCACTGTAACGCAATGATAAACGGCAAGTAATCCGATAATTGACAAATCGAAACTTTTCGGCCTACAAGATGGCTTCAGCGAACAGGTCTAGCAGTACTATAAAACCTGTTCGCTGAAGTCTCTTTAGCTTATTACCTTCCAATTAAGAATTGTGGGGTAAGATATGTACATATCAAAATTATAGCTTTTGAAGTGTAGTATACATTATGACTTAATGATCTGATGATAGTGCATCAGTGGTCCAACTTGATATCCATTTCTGCAGACTGACAAAAAACTGAGTCTGTAAATCAATTTTTTTTTAGAAAATTATTGTGATTTGTAACTGGGTAAATTAAGGATTTAGTGAAAAATGTTTATTTTACATATTTTCATAATTTTGAACGACAATACTGGTATTTTGTTTTTTATCGCTGTAATATACACTGTTGCTGAAAAATGTAGTCAAGGTAAATACAAAATGTGCTTACAGATTGGTTACATGACAAATTAAAAAATCTCAGAATCTAGCTTTGGAAAGTTTGGCATGTCAGAATAAATTGTAAACTTTGCCGAGCAAAAACCAAAATGTCATTACAGGGTTAATATCATTAACAAATGTTATGAACATACAAAATACAACTGTGTTTTTCCGCATTTTGATTTTAACGATGTCCATTTAACTGATGAACTTGACATGAAAGTCATGTTTCGCAAGCAAGCCGCCATGTTGTTTGTGAATTACACACAACGTGAACATTTCATTTAGGTATAACACCACTAAATATGGCTACAGATCGGACATTATTGAAAATGCTGGGCCTCTTAGAGACATCATTCAGTCACACATAGAATGGAAATATCATAAAAAGAGTTTCACAAAATATACTTATGTACTTAATGGCATATCTAATTAAAAAATGAAAGTGATACATTGTAATCAATAATTTATCGAAGTTTGACTGAAAGGGCCGACATGATTCAATCGGGAGGAAAGCCCGGGATCGTGTTGGATATATACCATAGGGACAATATGTGTGGATATTTGTCGTAATAAAAGATAATAAAGCGTTGGTGTTTTTGACTATATACATGTAGATCTATATAATGACTTGAAATATATTTAGAGCTATAAACTTGAAATCACATACTGATTTGTTTGACAGTCATGTACACGTGTCATACGTTATAATATTTTAGTCATATCATTTGTTTCCCTCTCTCATATGATAAGACTAATCGTTTTAATAACTTTTATTATTATTCTAAAAGGATAATATTGAATGTAAACGTTCAAATTTTGTCAGTTAATAAGGCTATTCGTTTAAATAGCTTTTATGATTATTTTAAACTCGAAAATGAAACATTTAGGTATGTTGAGAAAATTTGTTTCATATCTACAATATGTTTTCGCTATATGTATATTACCCCTAATATTCAAAGATATGACAGTAATCAAATTAGTTTATGAATGAAAATTTTCCACTGTATCTTTTTGAATGTGAGTATCACTCTTTGTCGATAATAGCATGTCACAAAGTTAAACAAATTCTTCATGCACTTTGTAACAATTATAAGTGCAAGTATCATCGAAAAATATTAATAAATCAAAACCATACGACATTTGTCAAGAAACTTTTCGGATAACCCTTGAATTTTACATTTGTTAAACACATTTTATGTGTAATTTATAGAAATGAGTTTTCGATTTGTAAATTAATGTTCTATAAAATCACCTTTGACTGAAAATGACCCAGTGACCTCTGCAAACGGCCATTTCTCAATGACCCCACGTTTGAAACCCATGAAGTGTCGACTTCGATCCCCTGCGGCTGGCCCAATTTTGACACTAGGGGTTTTATTTCAACATGGTAGACATACACTAGAACATTTTCAATGCCAAATATCTAAGCTTTTTGTAATATTGGAAGAAGATTTTTTAAAGCTTTTACTATGTACATGTAAATATATGGAAAATAAATGACCCCCTTGGTCGGGGTCCAATTTGACCCTAGGGTTTTTATTTGAACAAACAAAGATTTTTTTGGTTTTGACTATATATAACAGCAACGAAGTTATAAATGAATTTTATGAGTGTGACATTGATCATTATTTAGATGCATTGAATAATTTTCGCTGTTCCAGTGATAAATCTCCCAAGCACTGTATAAATATTTTTAGGAAATATTAAGCTATGTTAAGCTATGACTGTGCTGGTGAAATTATTGACTGTGAAAAAAAAAAAAATATTGTTCAAGTAACAATTTGTGGGGACATTGGTAGACATCCAAATCCACAAACATTCAAGAATGTAAAAAAGGCAAGATCGGATATGCCGTTTTGGCTATCTATGACCACCTCTGCAAAAAAAAAATATGGTGTTAGACCAACACCAAATGACAAGAACAAACATCTAAAACAGTACGAAAAAATACAAAAAAAAAGATTAACATTGATACAATATGTCTTTTGAGATTTTTTTTGACAGACAATGCACAGGTGAATGAGAATGATTACATTTAATGCATTAGCAGTTCATTAAACTCCAATCCAAATGAGATACGTGTAAATTTATACAATGCCAGAGTTGAAAGCATGCAAAGCAAACACTGACAATCAATTTGTCTTAGATTCATATGCTTGTACCTTGTGTATTGTTTCATATATAAGTAAATCACGACATGGTATGAATAATCTTATGCATGCTGCTGCAAAAGAAACAAGAAATGACAAACTAGATATAAAAAGGTAAGTAGGAGACATTAAAAATGAGTTTTCGAACAGTGTTGAAGTGAGTGCACTGGAAGCAGTATATTTAGTTTTGCAAATACCCTTAAACCACAAGTACAAGAGACGTTGTTTTCGTAAATACTTCTGTACCTAACCAAAGAGTACAATTGTTAAAGTCCAAGTCTGCTCTTGATGAGTTGCCTACAGACTCAACAAATATCATGTCAGATAACATGATAAAAAGATATTCAAAATGTCCAAAAAAAGTCAAAAGGATTTAGATAACTATGCTGATATAGGTTATTCAGAACAAAATGATGATGAAAAACATGCTGGTCAGGAAATGAATATTTTTACTGAAAAGTGGTATTAAAATCAGAAGACGCCGTGATTAAATAAACATAAGGTATGTAAGATTTAATTGTAAAACAGATGAAGAAAACTATCATTGAGAAAAACTACGTCTCTCTTATCCATGGAGAAATGGAAAAATTTACTTTGACATTTTGCAATAAATAAAGAACAGTATGAATCAATCCAAATGCTGTAAATGAAAAGTGCGCATGGCATGAACATCATGTAGATGAGTTAGAATTAGCAAGAAATATGGCTGTAGCAGTATGCAATGCATACGATAAAATTGCCCGTGGAACTCAGCAAGTGGAAGCAGAAAATGCCGAAGAAGAAGCGGTAGAATCAAAAAAAATATCTATTTCAATCCAGATTGAGTTAGTTAACAAAGAGAATATGATATTGACATAGAAATTGGATGTTCCATTTCATATGTACAAATCAGTTCTAATGAAAATAGTTTACCAGATGAAGAGAACAGAGCTCTTCTGCGTTCGTTGAACTCAAAACAGAAAGAGTTTTACAATCACTTTGTTCACTTGATAAAAACAAAAGATGCACCTTTGTAATAATTTCTTTCTAATAGATAGTGCTGGTGTCGTAGTTGCCTTTGCCTTGTTGAAAATGTGCTGCTATAGGAACATTACATCAAACTCTATATAGAATGCTTAATTTGAAAGAAGGAGAAAATACTGACGATATAAAAGTAATGTTGTCTGCATATACTGAAAAGCAGCTTTCAATATAAATTGTTCTACCATTTCGTCCGCATTCAAGCAGAAGTACAAACAGTCCGACTAAACATTAACATGTGAGAGCCTAAATATTTTCATATCCAAGTATCGAGATTTATCTGATGTCAAAATCGGTGAAATTTCAGTGGTTAGTAATACTATGATGAGGTTCATAAATCAGAGGCTGCAAGAATTAAAAGACACATATAATCCATTTGGAGGTGTAAGCATTATTGCAGTTGGAGATTTATTCCAATTAAAACCTATAAATGGTGATTGGATATTTAATGGTTTAAGTTGTGTTGCTGCATCTTTGTCCATGAATTGATGGAAAGAAGTGTTTGTTATTTATGAGTTATCAGAAGTAATGAGACAAAAGGATGATTTCCAATTTACAGACTTATTATTAAACAGCGGATCCAATGCTAAATAAAAAATAACAAGTAAGCTCTCCACATTTATTTGGTGAAAACTACGAGTATTACATGCATATTTTCAAGAACACATTTCTAAACAGTTCAAACAATAAAAAAGTGACCATTCATGACTTTATTGTTTCACCAAAATTATCAAAGGATAAACAAGAAGAGGCTATCAAAATATTGATCAAAGATCCAAACAGAACTGCTTATCATCATCGTTCATTGGACATTGTTGTATGTATGTTGTATGATTTAACTATCGAAACAAATACTGAAGATGGCCTTGCAAATGGTTCGTCATGTGTTGTAAAATTCATAGAGCATAAATTAAAGGAAACACAACGTCCTAGTATCATTTAGATACAATTTAGTGATTTGAAAGCTGGTTGTTGAACTAGATTAAAATATAAAAATTCGAGGCTTTTATCATGAACAAATATATGAAAATTGGACGCAAACATTGGATATCGCAAATACCTACACATAATATCAAAACACTTTTGAAAAAATCTAGTTTCCATTATAACCTTCTGCTGGGAGATCAGTTAATAGGGCACAAGGAACAACACTTGATATATATATCCGAAAGGAAACACAAAAAGTTCCACACCTTCATTATGTTGCATTTAGTAGAGTTAGGTCTTTAGGAAAGCTTCAAATTCTCTATTTTAATGAGCAGGCTTTACAAGTTGATGAACAAGTTAAAACAGAAATGGAGAAATTGCTTAAAGATGTTTCTCTAGAATTGTGTTATGTTCCCTTTGAATATGTGTGTGTGTGTGT